GGTTTAAGGCTTAGGATTTAAGGTTTTGGGTTTAGGGTTGGGGTTGGGGTTCAGGCGAAGAATTGGAAATCAGATCCACCGTGCAGTTCCTAGAATAGGTCCCGGAATTGTAAGGCCCCGAAAATGAGGCATTTGGGACTGCCTGCTTGAAATTTCGATTTATTAGAACTCTGGGATTCAGCCTAAGTCATAAATTCGTAAAGAGCCCTCATAGAACCCGTATAGAAATCTTATAAAACTCGTCTGGACTAGATGCCCCGACTACCGTCTGCTGGTGGCAGTATTCCAGGACACTTCGCGCATCCTGGTAGTGCTGGAAGCTTTGGGGACTTCAGGTTTAGTTAGGGTTCATGGGTTTGTGCGTTGATGGGTTGACGGGCTTGGCCATTTGAAAAAGCAGCTGCGGAGAGCTGGAATAATCATATTATAGGGGAAAAATATTTTTTCCCCTAAAATATGTTTAATCAAGGTTTGACAACTACTGTGGATCGCGGAATGTTGAAAGGAGCAACCTCTCCTGACCAGCTCAAGGTCCCCGAAAGAAACCCCTAATCAGAGAGACCGCAAATCCGAATAAAAGCCAAGAACCGCCGAATCCCCGACCAGAATCTGCCAAGACCCCAAACACGAAAACTCGAAAACACTAAAGCCTCCTTTTAACGCCCTGAAACACACTAAAGCTTGAAAACCCCCAAGAACTCTAGATCCTCAAAGCTCAAGGCTACACCCTTTGAAGCCCTGGACCCTAAACCCTTCGTCACGCTTTACAAATTCCAAACCTTAGGCCCTGAACCCTTGAAAGCCCTTAAATCATTTTAGGAACCATTGAAAACCCTTTAAGTCATTTTGGAACCCGTGAAAACCTGTTGAATCCCTTTAGAACCTGTGAAAACCCTATACAGCCTTCTAGAGCCCTCTAGGACCCTTCTCAAAGCTGAACCCTAAACCCTAAACCCTTTTCAACCCTAAAGTTCTAGCCTCTGGGAGATGGCAAGCAAAGTCATCAAAGGTCAGCTTGAACTCCTCGACCGCGCGGGCCCCTAAACCCTAAAGCCTAAACCCTGAACCGCAAGCCCTAGGATGTAGAAGGATGTAGATGCTCCTTCAAGGCCCAGGGAGAAGTATGTTGTGCTCTTGGTTTTGTGTTGTTGTGCTAAAGTCTGGAGTTTTCAGAATTTAAGGTTTGCTTCAGGGTCTGTAGGTTTAGATGTTGAGGGTTTTTCCCAAAAAACCCTCTGGGGTTGGGTTCTCGTTCAGAACGGTAAGCCGCGGGAGCGCGATAACGAAGCCGACGCGTCCGGGAAGAGCAAACGAAGAGGAAGCCGTGTACGGAGGGATGGCGGAGCCGACGGGAGTGGAACGAGCCGACGGGAGAGCAAATGAAAATGGTACACGGGCAGGGTGCACGGGTGCACGGGCAGGTGCAGGAAGTGGACAGGGAGGGGACCGGGGCAGAGAGCGATAACGGTGCACGGGGACGGTGCACCGGTGTAGGGAAGGGGCCGAGAGCGATAACGGTACACGGGAACGGTGCACGGGAAGGTGCAGGAAGGGGACCGGGGCAGAGAGCGATAGCGGCGCACGGGGACGCTGCACGGGTACGCGGAGGTGCAGCGAGGGGACCGGGGCAGAGAGCGATAACGGTGCGCGGGGACGCTGCACGGGTACGCGGAGGTGCAGGGAGGGGACCGGGGCAGAGAGCGATAACGGTGCACGGGGACGGTGCACCGGTGTAGGCAAGGGGCAGAGAGCGATAACGGTACGGTGCAGCCTAGGGAGGGGTCCGGGGCAGAGAGCGATAACAGTGCACGGGGACGGTGCACGGGTACGCGGAGGTGCAGGGAGGGGACCGGGGCAGAGAGCGATAACGGTGCACGGGTGCAGGGAAGGGGCAGAGAGCGATAACGGTACACGGGAACGGTGCACGGGTGGGGACCAGGGCAGAGGGCGATAACGGTGCACGGGGACGGTGCACGGGACTAGGGAAG